ACAGATACTTAGGACATCAGGGGCTCCAGTCCGGCTCCTCGTGGAATTCCTACCTGAATTTTATTTATTTCTCTTTTTTTCCTTCACTTTTACTATTCTTCAATTTTGTGTGTGTGAGCGTTTTGCTTGTGGGTATGGATATGCTCCCTTTGTGTTTCTGGTGCCCATGGAGGCCAGAAGACAAGGCCTGGACCTGGAGTTACAGGTGTGTGTGAGCCACCATGTGGGTGCTGGGAATCAAACCCGGGTCCTTGGAAAGAACAGTACTGATCTTAGCTGCTGAGCCACCTCTCCAGCCCTTTTATATTTTGACACAGGGTTTCCCTATAAGACTGTGGCCAACCTGGGAATCGCTATGTACACAAGCTTGGTCTTACACTTGTATGATCCTCTCGCCTCTGCTTCCCAAGTACAAGGATTCCATGAAGGCACCATCCTGCCTTGCTTCAAAATTCTAGTTTCTGCTTATTCAGATTACTTGAGATTGTGGTTTGGGCTTCATGTGCCTTCTCTCTGGGTCTAGCCTACAGAAATGTGAGGGACGAGAGCATAGCAAGAAGGAAGAGAATGACTTAAAAGTCACCTGCATGGTCTGTGGACCATACAGGGCTCGGGAATACAGGAAGGGTGGACTCCTGTTTACGGCTCCGTTCCTTATGTTCACCCCGCTTGGTCACTCAGCTGGCACCACTCACGTGGAATGAAAACAGCCTTGCCATCCCATAATTCTAGCTGGCTTCATAATTACCTGTTGACATATTCCCAAAACATGACAACCACAGTTGAGACAACCAACATCGACAGGATTACTTTTCCCTTGATATTCATTATTTTCTCCTGTAGAGGCGGGGAGAGAAAAAAAAAAAAAAAGAGGAAAAAATAAATTAAGCAATTTAAGTCTGGAGTGAGAGGTGTCTTCTGGGGCTGGAGAAAGAGCTCAGTGGTGTAAACAGCTCATTGGAACACTCGCTTGCTGGCTTCAGTACCCAGCATCCAAATGGCAGCTCACAGCCGTCGGTAACTCCAATTCGAGAGGATCTAACACTCTCCCTCTTCTGGCCTCCACAGGCACCAGACATAAGGGTGGTGCACATAAGCACATACATACACGCCAGCAAAACTCACACGTAAAATATTTAAAAAAATAAAAATAACAAAAGGCCTCTGCTCACATGGTTTCTTTCTTTCTCTCTCTTTCTCTTTTTAAGATTTCTTTACTTACTATGTATTCAATGTTCTGTCTGCATGTACACCTGCACACCAGAAGAGGAGGACATCAGACCTCACTATAGATGGTTGTGAGTCACCACGTGGTTGCTGGGACTTGAACTCAGGACCTCTGGAAGAGCGCTCTTAACCTCTGAGCCATGCCTCCAGCACTCACATGGTTTCTAAGAGGATACATTTGTGTGTAATTTCAACAGAGCTGAACTGTGTGTGGCTCCCCACCTCCACCCCGGTACACAAACTAGCCATGACCAATTAGGCCAGAGGAGGTAATGAGGCTGTGTGTTCTGAGAATGATGCCGAGCCCATCCATGTGGGTGCTGGAGAGAGAGGGGGTAGCTGTAAGATGGTCCAAAGAACTCTACTCACCTCTGACGCTGGGAGAGCTAGCATCACTCAGCAGCTCTGCTGTCGCTGAGTACTGACCATGTTCTAACGACTTCAAAATCTAGGCTCACCCTCTTTTAAGTCCCATTCAGTTCAGCCCACCGCACACCCACAAGCAAGCAAACAACCGGAACTACAGAAGTAGGTACATACACGGGTATTTTTTAAATGCTGCATAAAACTGTGAAAGAAAGAGAAGGGGTGCCGGGCAGGGAATTACAGGCTGGGAAGTACTTCGCTGTGGTGATCAGGGAAGGCAGGACGTTGGGGGGACAGGAAAGGTGAATGCTGGAGATGAAGACAAGAGGGAGAGGTGAGAGCCTCTGGGGAGCAACATTCACGATGCCAGGAGAAAAGGTTTTAGGAAATGAAAACAAAACTCACCTCAAAATGTTGCACAAGAAAGAAGGGAACGGGGTGGGTAGGGATGGACAGAGCTCTCAATGGTCCACGGGGAGTTGGGGAGGAGCCTTTGGGGTGAAGAAGTACTGAATCTGAGTTCAGAAGACCTGTTCACCTGCTGAGGGTTGGGGGGAGGTTACCAGAACCCCAGCATTAGTGGGGGGGGAGGGTCACAGACTAGTCTAATGGCTAAAGAGAGGGAGCAACTGTAGAGTGCATTTGCACGTTGCTGTTCCTCTATTTCCGAGTTCTGACGTAACATTTTGATCCCTAACAACACTCCCCTGCCTGGCGAGGAACTGTTCCTCAACACTTGCTGGCTCTTTGAGATTCCAAGAGTTCAGACAGGTCATGCCTCTGACCCACAGATGAGCCAGGCCTCCTCCATCTGGCCCATGCACCTCACAAGGCAGTGGGGCCTGGCCTTCTTGCTCGGAACCTCAGACACCTAGAGACCGGGCCTGCCAAAAGGTCTCTGAGCAGATCTTAACTGGTCGCTACTCTGAGCACCCCAACTTCCAACTCTCAGTATCACTGGGTGGTATTCCAGAGACACCCCAACCCCCCAAGAAGAAAGACTGGGTAGGAAACTCGTAAGAAAGCGGGCTGAGCAAGCCATGGGGAGCAAGCCAGAGCACATAGCCTCCATGGCCTCTCCATCAGTTCCTGCCTCCAGGTTCTTGCCTTGAGTTCCTACCCTGACTTCCGTGATGGACTGTGACCTGAGATTGCTAAGGAAAATAAACTCTTCCCTCCCCAAGTTGCTTTTGGTCATGCTATTGTCACAGCAACAGCAACCCTGACTAAGGCAGCGACCCAGGGGCTAAACTCAGGTCATCGGGCTTGGCAGCAAGTGCCTTTACCTGCTGAGCCATCTCACTTTCCTTTCTTCTCAGGTAGTAGCTAAGAATAAGAGGCCATCTGAAGAGCTGGCTTCTTTATGAGCTCGCACAGGCGGAAGCTGTGAGCTTATCTCAGAAGAAAGATCTGCAAAACAGCAGAAGGCCTCCAGATTAATTCTAGACGTGAGCGCACAGACTAGACTGAAAAGCTGTAAGTTAGAGGAGTTTAGTTCCGCGAAGCCTTCCTCCTGAGTGTGAGTACTAGACTGGGCCTTGAGAGACCAGCTTCTGTCTAAAAGAGTTCACTCACTCTAAGTTCAGCCAGAGGCTGTGGATTTTAAAAGGCCCTGAGTGAGCAGGACAACAGCTGTCCCCTCTTTCCTCGCTTCCCAAGCCTACTTCTCCTACCTCACTTCCCACCCAACCAGAGACCCCCACACCCATTCAGCTGAGCCAGTCAGAAGCCTAGGACTCCACAGCTGACTACAGGCTGGAGCCAATCAGTGCTCTGGATAAAAAGGTCCCTCCCCACTTCCAGCCGAGGCCAGGCTCCCACCCTCGCTTTTCAGGGAGCTGCTCTTCTACTTCCAGAAAGCTTTGTCTGCTCTTCCTCACTCAGTGTGTGAGGTAATGAACCCGGCTCAGAGGGTGACTTGGGTCACCACTGAGCTTCCCAAGCCTTAGTCCTCTGAGCCAAGCCCACCCACACCAGGAAGTAGACTCGACCACCCCGCAACAGACTGACAGCCACAAGCCCCAGGTTTGACTGTGGCCACGAATTAGGATTTCAGTCCTAACACTACACCGAAAACTAGAGTTCCAATCCACATCTCTAAAACCCTGGAAAATCAAACATCCTTTCGTAATCCAAGAGGCATTGCAGCCTCAACTGACATTACATCTTTGTGATCTCTGTCCCATTTGAACATTTTTATGCACAAACATTAACGGGTCCTGTCCCTTGGCTCAGCTGCATGAGGATGCTGCACCACAGATGTTACGCTACCTATCTGGACCCAGAGTTTCAGATTAAGCACTGGAGACCCTACCAGATCGAACTAAACTAAAATTAAAACAGTTTTCTTGTTTTGACAATGGGGATAAGAATAGTGATAGGGAAGGATGTAAATCTGAGGCCAGCCTGGGCTACACACAGCAATACTCTATCTCAAATAAGAAATAAGGGCCAGTGAGATGGCTCTATGTGTAAACCAGCTTTCCAAGAAAGCCTGTGGCCTGAGCCTGATGGCCAAAAATGTACCACAGAAGAAGAGAACTGGTTCCTAATGGTTGCCCTCTGACTATGACATGTGCATTCTGGCATATGAGGCAACACATACACACACACACACACACACACACACACACACACACACACACGAATGCCTTTAATCCTGGAACTCAGGAGGCAGAAGCAGGCAGATCACTGTGAGTTCCAGGCCAGCCAAGGTTACACAGTGAGACTGTGCCTCAGGAGGGAGGGAGAGAGGGAAGGAGGAAGGCAGGAAAGGAGGGGAGAGGGAGAGAGAGCGGGAGAACAATGATTTCAGAGTGGCGCCGTGACATAGGATAAATGCCTTTCTGAAATGTTAGCCTTCGTTACTGCTGTCCATAAAGGAGGCTGCTGGGAGGATCTGCTGAAAATGAGGGCTGGTACTTATCAAGAGTCTGGAATGCAATCAATGCAAATGAGGGCCGCTCTAATCAAGGCCTGGGACACCCAGTGCTTGCTGAGAGGCCAGAGCAAGCCCCAGCTTCCAGGCTCAGCTGCACCAACCCCACTCACCCGGGATCAAACGTAAAGCCTCTCCCAAGCGGAAGGGGCATGGCACAGAGCAGCTGCATGGCCTGTGCCACCACAACCAGTCCAGACAGGTGCTCCTGATCCCCACCTTGAACAGGCTGGTGTGACTTTCATTGATCTCAGTAATTCATGTGAAAGGCAACTCTCCAAGCACATTCTTTTTTTCTGGGCTTCGCTGCAGGCTTTTGGAACCTCGTGCCCTGGGGCTGTGGCTAAGCACCCCTCTGGTGAGAGCCTTGCAAACTGGAAGCTTAGAAATGGGCACAACAACGCTTCCTAGAATCTGGAACCCAAGTCCCCAGGGGAGGAAGGGCTGGCAGTCAATTAGGCTTTTAAAACGTTTTTTATTTTCTCTCTGGATCAAATGAAACATTTTGGCAGCCAGTGTGTCCTAAAAGTCCTTCTATAGGTCCTCGGAATTTTCAAACTGCAGTTCTGAAGACCGGTGGGTAGCCATCTTCCCTACCAGGAAATGAGTTTGTCTTCTTCCAGATCTTGGCTCTAAGATGATGATGATGATGATGATGATGATGATGATGATGATGATGATAATAATAATAATAATGATAGAAACGAACAAACAAACAATGGTCACACCACAGAGGGCCAAGGCCCATGTACCCTGCACACCCTGCCTGGTGTACACTCAAGGACAAGCCATTAAGAAGTTTGTCATTCAGAACATCGTAGAGGCCACAGCCACCCACAGACATTTCTGAAGCAAGAGTCTTTGATGCTCACATGCTTCCCAAACTCTAGCTCAAGCTGCATTACTGTATGAGCAATCCCGTTCATAGCAAGGTGGTCAGGAAGTGACCTGGCAAAGTCCACCCTGAAGGACCAAGTACTCCCACCATGACTTAGGCATACTGACACTGCCCACGGCCTCCACCAAAGCCCATGTAAAGAAGTGGTTTCTGGGGAAAATGAAAATAACAGTTATACTTTAGGGCTGGAGAGATGGCTGTTCTTCCAAGGGTCCTGAGTTCAATTCCTGGCAACCATACAGTAGCTCACAACCATCCATAATGGGATCTGGTGCCCTATTCTGGCATGTGGGCAGAACACTGTATAAATAATAAATAAATCTTTTTTAAAAAGTTATAAAGAGGGCAGGGAATGGTGACCAACACATTTAATTCAGGCACTCCACAAGCAAAGGCAGGCCAATCTCTGAGTTCGAATCAGCCTCGTCTGAAGAGCTAGTTCCAGGAGAGCCACGGCTACACAGAGAAACCCTGTCTTGTAAACAAAGCAGAACAAAATGAAAGAAAGACAGAAAGAGGACATACACAGACAGACAGACAGACAGACAGAGAAATGATTTTGAATCTGAATCATGTAGCACCCTGGGTGATCTTAGCCCACCCAGCGGTTCAGTCTGTGATGGCGTGGAGCCATCCTGTCATCTGAGACCCGGTGACTCAGTGCTCTTGTCATCTGTCTCTAACTCCATCCACTGGCCACTCCCAGATTCGACCTTGCAAAGCTTGGCTCCTGCATGGGTTTTCAGATGAGCACCTACACCCCAACTCCTGGGACATGAGCCGGTGCTGGTGGCATCTCATAAGGCAGAGCCACGCTGGAAAGCCTCCGCCTTCCTGTTCAATGACCACCCGCCAACCAGATGGAAACACTCCATGCAAATAATTCCTCTCTGGAAGGGGACACTGGGTATGTTTTCTCCGTTTCGTATCAGGGCAAAAGGTGAAGTTCAGCTGGAAGCTGGATACACACAAGGGCCCTGGAAAAGCCATTATCATTATCACTGTCTTGACAGCAGGGGACAGGCAGGGAGAAAATACTTGCCAGAGAAACCAAATCCCCCAGAGAGTGCTCTACCCTCCACCTATAAACCTGCTGCCATGGCCTAGAACCCATTCTTCTTCCCCGAGGAATGGCCAAGGAATGCACAATGAGTCCAGATTGGCACAGGCCACCCTCACCATCAACCACCATGGACTAGGCTACTGGGTACTAGTGTGTTCTTGAAAACAGAAACACACCAATGAAAAGGCCACCATGGAGCTTCCATTCCAGAAGGGCAAAGTAAAAGGTTAAACAGACTAGAGAGTGTCCAGTAGTGACCAATGCTCCAAAAGCAAGCGTCTGCGTCCCGTACTTGGGGAACCACCTGGGAAGGTGGCAAAGGAAAGGGTGTGTCAGGTTCTGTGGTTTGAAGGAGGAGGAGGAGAACGGCAGGTGAGGCTGGAGTTGAGCGGATGTGGGGAGCAAAGGAAATAGAGGCTCCCGTTTTGCCTAAAAGGTCTCTTCCTCATAAAGGGACGAGACAGGCTGGCATCACTAGGAGGGGATGAGTAAAGGGGTACCCCTAAAACACCACAGCTGAGTGGTGGGATAAGAGGTCGGTAAGGCTGTCCCCCTCCTCCAACAGCAGAGAAACAAAAAGTAGGTCCCCAAAACTCCATCAGGACAGAAAAAATGGCCCCAGTGTCCAAAAGGAAGGAGATGGGTTGTCCTGATATAGTGATGACTACCCAAGGCCTCCTGTTAGTGATGATGATGGCTGGGCCAAGGGAGCCCAGGCCCTGTCAATTGTCCATGGCCAAACCTAGGAGACTGGCCGGAGGGTCTTTTGGGGCTTAATGCCCTCACACCTCGAGGGTCATGAAGACAGTCAATAGCTCAATGTCTTTCTTGCTAGCACCTTGGACATGGTCGGAATGGGTTCTTAAGCCTTGGACAGGCTCAGGCCCAGTGTCCTTCTTGACCACACTTAAAACAGAGGCCTGGAAGGTCTCCAGTTTTGAAAGGCCCGGGAGCCTGGGCAGTTCCTGAGGTTGGCCGAAAGGCCTTAGATAGCATCAGGTATTTTTGCTTTCCAGCCTTCTCATCTCTCCCATGTTATTATACCTTAAAGGCCACAGTTAAGACTTCAACCTGTGAAGCCAGGGTTCTTTCTCCCATCATTTAAGTCTGGCTCTAGTATCAGGGAACCTCTGAGAGAAGAAGTAAGTCATAAGTAGCTGTTTTCCATCTGGCATCTCAGGATCCAGATCTTTTAAGAGGGCCTTTGAAAGGTGCTCTAGGAATTGTGATGGGTTCTCATGCTCATCCAAAAACCTCCCGGATTTTGTCATAATTTACCACTTTAAGGGCAGCCTTACCAAGTCTGACCAGGAGACAAGTTATAAATTGATCCTTAGCTTAAATGTCCTCTGGGGTATTGTAATTCCACCCAGGGTCCCGGCTGGGGACTGTCTCAACCCCGATGGGGTAGGCAGAGTCAGTTTGATAGATTTCATCGGCATGTGTCCTAGCCTGATCCCAGACTCGCCTGCACTCCTCAGGAAGAAGATTGTAAGGATCATATGGACATCATAGAAACTATGATTACAAGCCTGAGTGGTATATACTAGAATTCCTTTAGGAAGGTGGAAGAATTAGCAGTATAAGGCCCCACTCTCTTCTCTATTTGAGATAGTTCTCTTAATGGAAACGGATCATGTACAGACTGAACCATCCACCCCAGCAACTTCCCACAAAGGGAGAGCCATGGCTGGTTTGGGCAAGGTACGGTGAGGTGAAGGAGGTACTTCAGTGGAGTGGGAGCAAGAGCGAGAAACAGGAGGGCTGGGGGTTACTTGTGTGCTAACGGTGGGTGTGAGAGAGAGCCGATATGGGCAACCAGCTGCTGAAGAGGGAGAAAGGGAAACTGAGGGAGTTGGTGGAAAGGGAGCTATAGGTTCAGGCCTATAGGGGAGAGGTTCATTAGCCGATTCAAAAATAGTGAAGGAATCATCTTGTTCAGGCTTCGTAGCCCAAAGGAACTGAGTGGGGGTACAGGTAGAACAGAGAGAAGGCTGGGAGTGGAGATGAGAGAAGGCTTGGACCCCGAATGCTCACAGTATTTGTAAAGGTACTGAATGATATCGGGATCTAGGGTGCCATTATGTGACCATTTGGAATGATTGTCTACGGGGTACCGAAGCCAAACCCGATTGGTCCGGAGCCAGGTAAATAGGTTGGGAGCTTTCTAAAAGGCGTCCTAAGGGTGAATGAGAGGGTATAGAGGACACCCTTCCCATGGATGAGAAAGGGGAAGAGAATGACACAAGCTGTTTAGTGGATCATCACCCAACAGCGTCAGCTAGCTCAACTGGATGGGGACCAGAGCTTAGCCTGGCTAAGCCCAAAACGACAGATTCCCGAGGATCTCATCCACAGGAACGAGTCAGGGAAAGGAGTCCCAAAAGCCACAGGGGCCTAGAAGAGCTGTGGGATTACAGGCAGCTCTGAAAGGAGGGAGCTAGATGGGTAGGAAGGGTAGGTAGGGGTGCAATAGCCCAGCAGGGCCTAAGGAACTGCAAGGCTGCAGCTCTGAAAAGTGGTGGGACAGTCAGGTAGGGTCGAAATGGCCCAGTACGGCCTAAGGCAGGAAGGGTTGCTAGAGCCCAGCTGGGCCTAAGGGAGGAAGGATTGCAATAGCACAGCTGGGTCTAAGGGAGCTGCAGAGTTGTAGCTCCAATGGAAAAATGGGTCAGGTGAAGGGGACCAGCTATAGCCCCAAACCCTGAGTCATTGAGGAGCTTAGGAGCCTGACATTTAGCAGACAAGAAAACAGGCTCAGAAACGCTAAGCAACTTGCTCCTGTGCTCAGCAAACTGTGCTGGGGCTCCACCCCAGGCATCGGTCAACTCCAAGGTCCCTATCAACTATCATGGAAAGACTCAAGTCTCTTCATGCCCGCAGGAGGACCATGTTGTGACTGACCTCCAGACTGGCCAAAAGCTGGCTAAGGTCAGCTTTTCCTGAGATCAACTGGGGAGCCTGATTGAATCACCCTTCTGCCACTAGCAAGGGTGTTCTCATTCTTTTCACCTTTCCACCTCACAATGGCCAGTGGTCACTGTGGCTCTGCTTTCTGGCTGAGGCCAGGCTTGAGTGAAGGGGTAGCTGGCATGCCTTACTGAGCACACTCGGAAGTAATGCATTTTAAGGTCAGAGTGTTGGCCTCTAGGTCTTACTCTTGGCAGTGTCAAAATAAGAAGGGGGGGGCATTTCATTATAAAATTCCTCATGGGGGGAAACATGATACAACTGATGGGGAAAAGAACGAGAAGCCAGTTTCCAGGTATGTTTTTCATTAAGAAGGAAGGTTGGACTCGGCTGGGCCTGGAGAGACGGCTTGGTGGATAAGAGGGCTTCCCCACTTACAGAGGGGCGGTAGCTTGGTTCCCAGTACCCACGTCAAGCAGGTCACGACTACCCGTAAGTCCAGCTTCAGCGGATCCTCTTCTGGCCTCTGCACCGTAAGTGCACGGCTCATTCACACACACACACACACACACACACACACACACACACACACACACAC